CCCCCCCCCCATTGTAACAACGTTGATGCTGAGTGTGCAAGAGGTTTGTGCACGTTGCTGCTGGGTGTGCAAGAGATCCGTGCGTGTGGGAGGTCGTACGCGTTGGCTCTGAGTGTGTAAAAGGCTTGTGCACGTGGGTGCTGAGCGTGCAAGGAGCTCGCACACATGGGAGGCCCTGCACGTCAGTGCTGGGTGTGCAAGGGGTCTGTGCACAAGAGGTCGTGTTCACTGGTGCTGGGTGTGCAAGGAGCTCGCACACGTGGGAGGCCAGTTACACGCGGACTGGGTGTGCAGGGGGGTTGTGCACAAGAACAAGGCTGGTCTCAGGGAGCTTGTGTGCACTAGGGCTGGGTGTGCAAGGAGGTTGTGCACGTGGGAGGCCAAGCACACCAATATTGGGCGTGCAAGGAAGCAGTGCACAAGAGGTTATGCTCACTGTGCACGCTGGTGCTGGGCGTGCAAGGAGCTCACGCACATGGGAGGCTGAGCATGCTGGTGATGAGTGTGCAAGGCAGTCTGTGCACAAGAGGTCATGCACAGTGGTGCTGGGCGTTCAAGGATGTTGTGCGCACTGGCAGTAGGTGTGCAAGGGGTCTGTGCACGCGGGAAGTCACACATTCTGGTGCCATGGAGGCTGTACACACTGGTGATGGGCGTGCAAGGCAGTCTGTGTGCACAAGAGTTCACGCACCGTGCTGCTGTGCATGCAAGGAGATTGTGCACACAAGAGCTTGTGCACACACTCGTGTCAGGCTGTAGGCGTGCAAGGGGTTTGTGCATGTGGGAAGTAGCACACGCTGGTTCCAGGGAGGCTGTGCACACCAGTGCTGGGCGTGCAAGGCAGTCTGTGCACAAGAGCTCCCACACAACGGTGCTGCGCGTGCAAGGAGGTTGTGCACACGCAAGCTTGTGCACACACTGGTGTCAGGCGGTAGGCGCACAAGGAGTTTGTGCACGTGGGAAGTCGCACACGCTGGTGCCAGGGAGGCTGTGCACACCTGTGATGGGCGTGCAAGGAGGTTGTGCGCACAAGAGCTTGTCAGGTGGTAGACACACAAGGATGCTGTGCACGTGGGAAGTCGCACACACTGGTGCCAGGGAGTTTGTGCACACCGGTGATAAGCGTGCAAGGCAGTCTGTGTGCACAACAGCTCACACACAGTTGTGTGGGGCACGCAAGGATGTTGTGCACACAAGAGCTTGTGCACACAGTGGTGTCAGGCTGTAGGTGTGCAAGGATGCTGTGCACGTGGGAAGTCACACACACTGGTGCCAGGGAGGCTGTGCACACCGGTGCTGGGCGTGCAAGGCAGTCTGTGCACAAGAGCTCCCACACAACGGTGCTGGGCGTGCAAGGAGGTTGTGCACACGCGAGCTTGTGCACACACTGGTGTCAGGTGGTAGACACACAAGGATGCTCTGCAAGTAGGAAGTCGCACACACTGGTGCTAGGGAGGCTGTACACACCAGTGCTGGGTGTGCAAGGCAGTCTGTGTGCACAAGAGCTCACGCACAGTGGTGCTGGGCGTGCAAGGATGCTGTGCACAAGAGGTCACACAGTCTGGTGCCAGGGAGGCTGTGCACACCGGTGCTGGGTGTGCAAGGCAGTCTGTGCACAAGAGCTCCCACCCAGCGGTGCTGGGCGTGCAAGGAGGTTGTGCACACGTGAGCTTGTGCACACACTGGTGTCAGGCTGTAGGTGCTCAAGGAGTTTGTGCACGTGGGAAGTCGCACACGCTGGTGCCAGGGAGGCTGTGCACACCCGTGATGGGCGTGCAAGGAGGTTGTGCACACGCGAGCTTGTCATGCGGTAGGCGCACAAGGAGTTTGTGCACGTGGGAAGTCGCACAAGCTGGTGCCAGGGAAGCCGTGCACACCGCTGCTGTGTGTGCAAGGCGGTGTTGCACGTGGGCAGCCTTGCACACTTGCGTGCACATCCCTCAACGCGTAGCCACGCAGGGCGGCTGCTCCCACCAGAAGCCGTGCGCTCCGGTGACCTCACGCAAATCAATTTTGAGCGTGCAGGGGCATCCCTCTATGTGAGTGTGTGCACGCACGTGTGTGCGTGTGAGCTGGGGGAGGGGCCGAGGGTCACACTTCCCCCTTCCTGACCTTCTCCCCCCCCCGACAACCCACAGGAGTGCAGCGCACTGGGGGACATGCCCGGCTCCTTCGTGCCCACCGTGACGGCCATCACCAGCAGCCAGGACCTGCAGTGGTTGGTGCAGCCCACCCTCATCTCTTCGGTGGCCCAAACTCAACCCCCCCAACCTCAATCTGGGGGTCCTATGGCTCATCCGCCACCTCCTCCTCCGCCTCCGACCGGTCCTGGTGCTCCCGTAGATCCTTATGACCTTCCAGGACCCAGTTATTCTACTGCTGGGATGGGGGGGTTCCCCTCTACTGCCGCCCCCCCCCCTGCCAGAGCCACCAGGGCCAGAGCGCGACGCAGCCGGGATGAGACGGTGAGTGGGGAGGGGGGGGATGGACCCCAAATCTGGACCCCCAAATCTGGACCCCCAAACCTGGGCATGGGACCCCCACCCTTGTTTCCATCCCCTCACCCTTCACCCCCAACCTGAGGACCCGTGGCCCTGCCCTGTGTCCCCAAAACAGGGCACTTGTCCCCAATTTGGGGGCATTTCCCCATCCCAGGGACCCTTGTCCCCATCCCAGGGACCCTTGTCCCCAAACCAAGGCTCTTGTCCTCATCCCTTGTCCCCAGTTTGGGGACATTTCCCATCCTAGGGACCCTTGTCCCCAAACCAAGACCCTTGTCCTCAACCCTTGTCCCCATTCTAGGGACCCTTGTCCCCAAACCAAGGCTCTTGTCCCCAACCTTTGTCCCCAGTTTGGGGGCATTTCCCAACCCTAGAACCCTTGTCCCCAACTCTTGTCCCCATCCTGGGGACCCTTGTCCCCAAACCAAGGCTCTTGTCCCCATCCCTTGTCCCCAGTTTGGGGACGCTTCCTAACCTCAGGTCCCTCATCTCCCCAACCTGCAGACATTTCTCCCCAAAACAGGACCTTGTCCCCATCTTGTGACCTTTGTCCCCATCCCTTGTCCCCAACCTGGGGACCCTTTTGTCCCCAACTCTTGGCCCCAACCCGAGGACCTTTGTCTCCAAGCTGGGGACCCTTTGTCCCCAAACCTGTGACCCCTTTGTCCCCAGCTCTTGTCCCCAACCTGAGGACCTTTGTCCTCAAACCTGGGACCCTTTTGTCCCCAGCTCTTGTCCCCAACCTGAGGACCTTTGTCTCCAAGCTAGGGACCCCTTGTCCCCAACCTGAAGATCTTTGTCCCCAGACCTGGGACCCCTTTGTCCCCAACTCTTGTTCCCAACCTGAGGACCTTTGTCCCCAGCTCTTGTCCCCAGCTCTTGTCCCTTCTTGTCCCCAACCTGAGGACCTTTGTCTCCACACCTGGGACCCTTTTGTCCCCAACTCTTGTCCCCAACCCAAGGACCTTTGTCCCCAACTCTTGTCCCCACCCTTAGGACCTTTACCTCCAAGCAACTCTTATCCCCAAACCTGGGACCCCTTTGTCCCCAACTTTTGTTCCCACACCAAGAACTTCATCCCCATCCTCTTTGTCCCCAAACCCGGGGTCACTCTTGTCCCCAACCCCTTTATCTCCAACTCTCACCCCCAAACCAAGAACCTTTATCCCCAAATTAGGGTCTCTCATGTCCCCAACCCGATTACCTGGGTGGTGGGGGGGGGATGGATGGGTGCTGTCCTCATTTCCCCCCCCCTCCTCACTGATGTCCCCCCCTCTCCCATTGCAGCTGACACCAGAGGAAGAGGAGAAGCGCCGGGTGCGCCGAGAGAGGAACAAATTGGCAGCTGCCAAATGCCGCAACCGCCGCCGGGAGCTGACGGACAGACTGCAGGCGGTGAGACAGGAGGACAATAGGGGGGAGGGG